TACCTACCTACTCTTGTCTCTTAAAAAACAGGAAAAGAGGGACGTACCTTGTCTGGAAGTAACTAATATATTAACTAGTAGTAGGTACTATACATAAAGATGCTCGGTGTCTCGCTAAAAGACCCGAGTTTAACAGAACGATAAAAGATAACGACGCTATTATTCTGAAGCGCTCTTTTGAAATCCCATAAAATCTTGGGAGCGATTTACTATCTGCTGCGCTAAGCCATGTGATACAGATTAATAATACATAATATTGCGCAAGAGTTTAGTCTATTACAAATATACTTTTCATCAAGTTAAAAATGGAACCATTAATTAAATACTTTTTAGTTTGAAAAATAATAAATTGGCTTTCTGAGAAAACTCAAAAATACCTAAATACTCGTATTCTATACTTTAATATTTTCATTTTCTTAACACGTTGAACATATTTACATAAGAAATAGAAAATAAAACAATAAAAATAGGAAAGTAAAAGCAACGTCAGGAAATGACGATTGCATTTAATGGTAGTCGTAAACATTCGAAATAGGGCAACACAACACAAACAGGAGCATCAGCCATGGAACTGACAATTATAAACATAACATTCAAGATGTGAACGACTCTGAACACTGAAATGAGGCCTTCTCCAGCGCTCCAAAATTAGACGCAAAGGTGGACGGTAACTGGGACAGACAATAAGAGATAGTGTAACTGTATATTACGGAACAGCTTGTCCCACCGAGTGGGTGTACAGGCTATGCTTATAACGCTAATAATGTATCGTAGATTATTTCGGGAACGACGTACAAGCCAATTTTTATAACCACTTTAGGGAGACACGTTTTTCCTCATTCAGTGTTATAAGCGTTGTAAGAAAGCTTTTAAGAGTTGGCAGGTCTCCTGAAATTAGTTGCAGCTCACGTATCCTCGAAATGATTATGTAGTTGAGTTCTTTATTCAACGGTGTTAGGGCCGTTGACCTGATACGATGTTTCAATTTAATAAGATTATTTATGCAACACAAAATTGCAGTTCGTGTATTGTAAATATGTTTGCAATTTTACGAGCTGAGGAAATTTGTGTTACACGAATTTTATAAACAGCGATTGTGATATATCAAATTTAAGTGATATATGAAATTTAAGTGATATATACAAGCACTTCTGCAAAAATAGCTAGTTAGTTAAACATATTATTATTTTCTAATTTTTCTTTATATTCACAACCTTTATAGGTATTTTAACTACCATTGCTAGACGCTGATATAGTTTCTTTTGTCAAAAAAACAAAGAGTTGGGTTGTTTAAGAAATCTTATTTCGTTTAGACCTGCCAAAGCTGAAATGAATTAACTGCCTCGGTCTATTTTCCAAACTATTCTAATCAAGGAACATTCACGGGTAGAACGGGACAATTCTTGAATTATCATCATCATCTCAGCCAGAAAACTTCCACTGCTGGAAATAGTCCTCAACCTTCAACAGGACCACCCTGTGTGGGGGGTCTACCCACGCTCTGTCTTCAGGTACGCAATCTCAACTCGAGAACTTTTGTATTATAATAATAATATTTTACAACATTCACACAACGCCATCTAGTCCCAAACTAAGCAGAGCTTGTACTACGGGTACTAGACAACTGATATAAATACATATATAATTTTTTTTTGTAAATACATACACATTATACATAGAAACACCCAGACCAAATCAAACATTAAATGTTCATGCACACAAATGCTTGACTTGAGCGGGAATCGAACCAGCAACCTTTGGAATAGCAGTCCGTCACACAAACCACTACGCCATTCGGTCGTCAATTATGTTACTTCAGTTCTACATAGTTTCCAGAAAGCGGCATCGTGGTTCTAAGGCTAGTAGAACAATATTTTTATTAGTATGGCGGCAACGATACTGCCTGGTATTCAGGAATTTATTTTGGAATAGTTATCATCTTCATATTGATATAAGTTTGAATTTGAAACAAGGCACTTATTCCAAATCAGAGATGCGCACGAAGAGGGGGGAACACACAATTTTGATAGTAAAGGCAACTTTTAACAATGTTAAAAGTGAAAACTTTGTGCTAAGAAACCAATCGGATTGGAAAAGTTATTTTTGAATTTGATAGCTCAATAAAAAGGGTAGTTAATTATTTAACATCACGCTATGGTGTGTAGGAGCAAGCAAAAATTAAGGTTTTAGTACGGCGCATGATTATTAATGCTGAGACTAATTTATACTAATATCTAAAAGTTGAACACAAACGTGTCACTTTCGACTGCATCGATGGCGTATTGGTTTAAGCGGTCGCCACGCTGCTTCCTACCACGCTGAGTGTTGTGGGTTCGATTCCCAGATAGGACGACACTGTGTGATCCACAAATTGTTGTTCTGAGTCTGGTTGTTGTTTGTGTCCGTTTCATGTATGTTTGTAAAGTCCCCCGCGACACAGGATATATTCCTAGAGCGGGAGTTGTCTTTTTAAAATAAATAAAAAAAAACGTAGGTATATAGCTTATAAAACAGATGAAGATAATTATGACTGTATTATGAATGATGTATTCGTATCTAAAATGTTGATAACTAGTTAGAAAACAAGCCAGTACACCTGGCGCTAAGCGTTACAAGAGACGATGTGCTACACCCACGAGATGAACAGGGGAGGGGGGGGACACTACGAAAGAATAAAAAGAAGACTTTATTTAAAGGTTTAATAAAATAATCGAAGACATTTCAAAAAGCCATAAGTAAAGTATTAGGACCATCCGTTAAAATAGATTAGAACAATATCGAGTTCGATCGTAAAGCAAAATTAATAAACATTTAAGAATATTTAAAAAATAAAACAAAATGTTGACCGCATAAAAATAAGATCAAAGAGAGAACACTGAATTTATTTAAACATTTATTAGAACCGGGACATTAAAAAATTACTTATAGCACGGTGTTGCTAGCTTCTACATTTGAGATGGTCTTGACCGAAATATTAGAGTACTAAGTCTTGTACTAATATTTTATGTCAACAGTGCAGACTAGAAAATATTACTAATGTGTTGATGACTATTTACTAAATTTTAAGCGTAAATCTTTTTGGAACGAAGTTTCTTATCTTGCTTTGCACGCTGTGAGCTTTTGAGACTTTTTGCCGACACTTTTTGTTTAAAGCAAACTGTATAGCAAACGTCTACCAAAAAGCGAAAAGAGCTGCGTTCCGACCGGGAGTCCATAGAAGCCGTTTATTTTATATAAAAGGTGGCCAACGAGCAAATGGGTCAGCTGATGGTAAGTGACTGCCGTTGTTCATGGACAACTCCAACTCAGGAGAGACAAGCGCTTTGGCAACCTCTGTGCATCTCCGCCATCAGAATTAAAGAGAGAGCAGTCTCTGTTAACTCTCTTACTCAATGAATGCAAGGAAGGAATTGCCTTACACCACATTGTGCGATACCTACGGGGAATTTAGCCTTTGACAGCTGATTGCATAAAACGTTTAATATTCGGTCAATAATTGTCAACTCAGAATAATGGTCTGAATACACTATTTCAGTATTCGTTACGACGTCCCTTACACCCTGTATTTCCTGTACCTTGGGGTCTTTACAAATATGTATGAAACTTACAGAAAGAACACCCAGAATCAGAACAGCAATTTGTTGATCACACAAACTGTTGTCCCATGTGGGGATCGAGCCGCGGGCAGATGCTAGTAGTACATATAAAAGATAGCCATTGGCTAAAATTATATAACACTAGCTAACCCGAGCAACTTCGTCTGCGTCTCTCAATAGTAATAAATTTTCTCCGTTTTTGAAACATTCTTCATTGGTGCTCCGCTCCTATTGGTCTTAGCGTGATGATATATAGCCTATAGCCTTCCTCGATAAATGGGCTATCTAACACTGAAAGAGTTTTTCAAATCGGACCACTAGTTCCTGAGATTAGCGCGTTCAAACAAACAAACAAGCAAACAAACTCTTCAGCTTTATAATATTAGTATAGATAGCTATTAGCGACTTCAAAAAAGGGAGCAGGTTTCCAATTCCAATGAATTTTTCTTTAAGAATAAGGCTACAAACAGTTGTCAAGCTTAAAATTGTGTTTAAGAAAAGTAAAACTGTCTGTAAAAAAACGTACCTTAATATCTTGCGTAGTTTTAAAAAACCACAAGAACGAAATCGGTGGCCACAACTAGCTGTGTTCTTCTTTCGCAAATTAGCGAATTTCATAACATTACGTATTCGGGTCATGTAGTTTTCAACTGTCACAACAATACATCATTGTTATGTAAGAGCGGGACAGACTTATATATACGCAAAACTGTAGAACTTTAATACGGTTACGCTATCGTCAGTTTTAATTTTGTTTCTATTTGGAGCTGGGTTTTGAAGAAGTTGTCGTCAATCAAAGATACCTCCTAAAAGTATATTATGCAGTGTGAAAAGAAGGAGATTTTAAAAGAGATTTAGTATTATTATAAAAGGTAAATCTAGACGAATTTATATGTTGAATATGTGCGTAATGGTCGTATCATATCGGTGTTCGAATGCTCCATTATATATAGGTTTTCATACCATACGTAACGAGCAGAAGTAATAATTTGACAATTAACTTGTCTGTGTAAAACGGAGTGTAGGGAAGCACGTGTAAGGAAATTTGGCTTTCGGAACGGATACCTTTGAACCTATCCGTTCTTTTATACGAAAACATTTATCTAAATTAATTAAATTTATTGACTTCGTCACTCACAAGTACAATAAATTTGAATAAAACCAATGAGGTAACATTTTAAATTAAGTTTTATCTATTTATTGTTTATGTCTATCTCCGGAACGCTTGCTGGCTTGGAGGTGTTTTCAAAGTCTTCGGTTAGCTAGACCCGCTCGTTACTAAACTCGCGGGTCCATTTGACCACATACCGTAACTTTACTAATCTCATTTGTAGTACCGTAATCTTGATTTTGGGCATTTCTGTTACTAAAATAGCATGAAGTATCAAACATTCGTAGGCTTACCTTCCTCTCTCGTCACTCCTGCCAAGGACCTTACTACGAGGATGTTTCTTCTTCGGTCGAACCTTAATCTTGTGTTTCGCCGCTGACGTGTCGAGAAGCTCTCCCTTTATGTCCAGGCTGGGGTCGTGCCGGTTCTTCCTGGGGTAGGGGGCGAAGGTTATTTGGATAAAATGGTAGTTAGTCTATAGGGTAACAAATATACTATTATATGTTTGATTATTTGTAATTGAGTACGTGCAATAACGTTTAGAGTAAAAAGGATTGATGGTGTATTTACTTTTAGTATTTTTTGAAGATAGTAATTGAAATCATAGTAGAACTGTTCCTGTCTCTATTTAATGATGCCATACAAAAGTGAGGTAAACAATGAATATGAAAAAAGCATGTAGGTTATGGATCGATGATAACGACCTTGAAAACATAATTTTTTATTCATGTTTATCTGATGATGTTTCCTTACTAGTAACATATTTACAAACCATATTATTTTACGATACGAAACAAATGTTTCTGTTGTTCCATAGATATGATAAATCTTAATATATAAATCTTTGCCATTTCATATAATTTAATCTACTAAATTAGAAGTAAGCAACCTTCATAACTTTAAAATGCCACAGTCACATGTCTGCATATTACTAGTATTCTCCATAACTTCAACTTAGTCAAATTCTTATGTTAGGAATTTAATTTCTTCGGTAGTGTACTGGGTGAGCTTACAGCCTTCAAACTGTGGATAAGGAACCTTATCTATATACTGTTATATTTTTTATTTCTATCACATAACACAGATCGAAATTACTGTCGAATAGATTAGATATTATTTGTATCTACTTAAATATAAAATACGTATGTAAACCTATCCTTGTTTTTTATTAAATGCTTCTCAGGAAGTCTAGCACAGATCACTTATAGCAATAAGTCCGCCCATTATGCTCTAATTTTAAGATACCTAAAATTTGTTTAAAATATTTGTTATTAATGGTGTACCATAAAGAATAATATTATCTATGTTTAACAATATTCTAGAACCCATAGTACAGTCAACTTGAAAAATAAGTGTTCCCCGACAAACTTCCATTATACTAAATCCATTCCGCCAAAAAATACTGTTAACTATCGTCACCTGTTGAATCTTTATTTGAGAAGAGGAAGAGCACAGAGCACAGAAGAGTTAGTACTGTATGAAAGTGTAACAAATAGCTCGTTTGCTTTACTTTAAAATTTTAATTACAATGGTAGTTAAACATTTTTTTTACTATGGGTGTTACCGAAACACCCATTGGGCTTTAATAATAATTTTTTTACACATCTCACACAGCGCAGTCTGATCCCAAACTAGGCAGAGCTTATGCTATGGTAACTAGACTGTTAATAAACATACTTAAATATTCCTAAATACACACATCATCATCATCATCATCAACAGCCTGTAATAGTCCAGTCGGGAGAGCCCATCATGTATCTGCGATCCAGCAAAAGAAGAAGATGTTCTAAACGTAATCTTTGAGTGTCCAAGATCTGGCGCTCAAAGATACGAAGCTGAACAACGCTTTGGAGAAAGAATTGTGACGGAAGAGGCACACCATTTACTAAAAAAGAAGGAATTAAGATTATTTCCTAAAGTTTGTAACTAAAATTTGCGAAAATGTCATAGATAAGTAATTAAAAATAAGACGCAAAATAAAATTGACCCTGAAGGGACCCTTGTCATGCAAGAGGTTGATAGTTTAAATTTAAAATTATAAAGGAGGTAGTGGCCTACTGTATAACGCTGGCTAGACTGGTCGGTATAGGGTTTATTTCAATTCTTCCTTCTCTTTGCGACAACTGCGTCCTGCGTAGTTTGCTTGGGATGAATAGGGGTAGAAACACTACTTCATAACACGGCAAATTATATATTGTAGATAAATTACACCCAGACAGAACCAATTATCGTGTTTGTCACACAGTTATTTGTCCTGTGTGGGAATCGATACCACGACCTTCGGCTTAGCAGTCAGGACCATGATCATTATATCGAAGTTTCGATCCGACTTAGAATGAGTAAGTTACTGTATTTAGTAACTATAGTTCTTTTGTATATCGGGTGTAAGGGACAACGTAACGAATCTGAAATAGTGTATTCAGACCATCATTTGGAGTCAGAAATAATTGGAGTTTTCTTCCGCAAAATTAACCTTTGTATGCAATCTGCTGTCAAAGGTGAAGGTCTTTTCCCGAAGGTATCGCACAAAAGTAATAACTACACGTATATTCCGTGCAAACAGTCTACGCACACTAATACAAGTTGGCGGCCGGAGGGGAGGCACCACGCGCTTCGACTTTAACCTTAGACTTCGACTTAATTACATTGCAGTTTTTAACCGAATGCGATATTTATTAAAAAAAAACGGTAAAATGTTCTGTTTACCCATTGTAATAATATTTTTAAGCAAAAAAAGAAAGAAAAAAACGTTCCGGCAGAAAATTCCTATGATTATCGACTCAGAATTATGGTCTGAATACATAGTGTATTCAGTATTCGTTACGATGTCCCTTACATCCTGTATATTATAACAGAACTTTGTTCACGTTTACCTTATTTTTTGAGGGTGACTGTACAAACTATGTTAACTTTTGATTTTGATATGTAATATCGCTCTGAATATTATTGTTATAATTATATTTGAAATATATCTAAACATCCAACCAGGTCAAGGCTTGTTGACGGTTTTAGGAATAAACAACGCCGCTCCTTATTGGATGGTTGGAAATAAACTACGATTTACGTTACAGGGTACCTTTAGTTGGCATTTTGCAGAACAACTTCGCTGCCAAATAGGTCAGGGCATGATCACAAAACGCTGTCATCATTTACTTACTTATAACAAATTTGCATATGGAAATCCACAAGGAGAAAAATGTTTAAAAACTACTTGAAACCTGTTATACGGGTGGTAAACCAGCAGACTGGTCACTAATGGTAAGTAACTACCGTCGCCACATGACACTTGTAGCTCAAGAGTCACAGGTGCATTGCGTTTAAGTCCCCACCCCCAGAAGCAGGGGGAAGGGTTTGAGTCTTCGGTAACTTCACTCACTCGTTCAAAAGTAATGTTTAACACCGGTTTCCCACGAGGTCTAGTCTCTCCCACGGTTAAAACTCTGACCTCCTTGTCTTACTTTTTTTATGTTAGGGAGGGCAGAAGAGTTGACTGGTCACCTGATGGAAAGCGACTATCGCCGCCCATAGACACCTGCAACTCGAAAGTCACAAGTGCGTTGCTGCGCTTTCGGCTCCGGTAACCTCACTCACTCAGTGAAAGGCAACGAAAGAATTGCTTAACACCGGTTTTCTATGAGGCCGTGGTATCACTCCGGTCGAACCGGCCCATTCGTGCCGAAGCATGGCTCTTCTATTAGATCATCCATTCCACAGTGCGTTCTGTTTTCTATGAGCATTTTTATTTCTGTATAAATTTCATAAGGAGTTAATGTACCATCTAAAAGTACATATAATTCGGGGAACATGGCATTGTCCCCAACAAATGGAACATAAAAATACAAAGGCACGGTAACCCCAACAAACACATCAACAGCTGTCAAATAACATCGACTGTCAGTTCATATTATTTGACAACTGTTATTTTTATGTTGGTACGTCTCTTTTTGTGTAAAAAAAATCAGTTGTTTTTTTGTTTCTTTTTATGTCAAGCCTGTCCACTGTCAATCTGCTCAGTACCTATTGGAAGAAATGACTAGTATTTAATCTGTGACTTTAATGATATTTCTGTTTGACGCGGTTCCGAAGCTAGAATAGAAGCATTTATATGGTACACATTATATAAAACTCAAATAGTCGATACATAGGAGAGTGGGAAAATTATCTTCAGATTTTATATCTCTTATCTTATCTTCAGAATTAGAAGAAATCTTTTTGTCGATATTCCATTTTCTTTTTTTAAATCTTGGGGCATTTTTTTTGATAAATGCCCGATAATTCAACAAAAAATATACAGAAATGACTCTGAAATCATTATCTAGGAAAGCGTATAATGACAGTAAAGTTATTTCATTAAAAAATGTGAATTTTTGATGTATATAATAAGATAAACAAAGTTTTGAAAATATATGCTATTACGTATACCAAGTGTCAAACTCTAGTAGAAGAATATTTAGGTAAGCTTAATTACGCAGATACAGAAAATATCTTAGCAATTTTAAAATGATATAATTAAAACTAAAATTAGGTTATTAAACAATAAGTAGTATATATTTGTGTATACAAACCAGTCTGAAGTAATTTACATTATCAATCTATTAGAACTTTAACATATGAAGGACCTGTAACTAACATAGTCAAATGACTGCCTGAAACACACTCACACCTAGCTCAAGCCGTTTGCAAAAGAATTTTTAATATTTTGTTTTTACTTCTTTATATTCAATCTTGCATAATTTAGAATAGTCATATACTAGTTTTATGTTAGCTTTAGTAACAAACTTCATATAAGAATCTAATGACAATAAGATGAAAATCATGTACAAAATGTCCCTAAATTTTATTCTGATTCTGCAATTTTTTTTATTTATTTTTATTTATAGATGATACTTACACTATGATAATGTTGCGGGTCTCTGCTTAGAACATTTGTAGACCACCATTGTGACTATCTTGGCTTCAAAAAAGTAGGGAAAATTAACATATTTTTGAGTGAAAATATTGAGATACTAATCACTAGTATCTCAATATTTTCACATATGTTGTACATATTTTAAATGCGAGAATTATTCTGGCTATTTATGTACAATTTCATGTACGGAAAAAAATCATCGATTTCATCTTCCAATTTGGTTGTTTGGGTACTAAAAGGCTTAAAGAAATCATCATCATCATCATCATCAACAGCCCTTAACAGTCCACTGCTGGACATGGGCCTCTCCTTAGAAATGAAAAAAAAAGAAAGAAAAAAAAAGAAAAAGAAATGTCCAATGACATTTACCACAGGTAATAAAACTAAGCATTAATATTTTATTTGTATATTACTTGAATATCTACTCCAGATGGTGACCAGATCACATGCTAGTATTTGAGGTACGTTATTTTATTTCTAAATATCACTCTTCAAGGGCATTTACACCAAACATTCATTTTAAAATTTTCAACCAATACTTAGTCTGAAACTTTAAAAATTACAGCTAATTGTGACAGGGCTGTGACGTACCGTCGCGACAAAATACTGTTGCTGGGTTTAAATTTGTCAATCTTACTCAATTATGTCACAAAGAGATGGCACTCTTTACTGTCAATGTTCAGGTTGCAGGCGTCTTTGATTGACAACGCTGTAGAATACTATAGTGTTCTGGCGAAAGGCGGAAATGCGCAGTACCAACTGTCAAAACTGATTTTAAAACTGTAATTATTTGTGATAGTTTCAAGAAAACTATTTTGAAGAGTACTAACAAAGAAAACTAATGTTGTAATTTACTAGTTTTTGGC